TTACTAGAAAGAACCGTTTGTTCTTTCTTTTAACATTTTTTTTTCCTTCCTTTTATTGGTACCTGTTGACAGTCAAATTTCGTTTACATATCATTCATATTTTTTCACACAACAATACCTAAGACGTGACGCAATAGACTCTTTAGCACACGTGCTCATGAATTTTTTATCTAGTACTTTCGTTTCTAAAATTTCTTTTTTAACAATTTAATTTGTTAATAGTTATAAATATTTTAAAACGGTAACTTTAGCTCCACTTATCAATGGACTAAAATTTTGAAATATCTTGCATTTATGTATGAATTAAATTTACAAGAAAAATAATATTCGAGGATAAAAGTGCCAAGTCGAGAAGTTCAATTAAGGGACACGTGAGCTAAAATACTATAATTTTTTCATTAAAAATTTTCACTATCATTATGATCGGAGTTAACTGTCAGTGTTCTGTGAACTTGGAGACCAACCTGCCAAAGAAAACAAATGGAGACAAAAGAAGCAAACCACAAGCAATTTAGGGGCAATGGAGCTAAACACAGAGGATAAACATATCCAAGTTGACGAGAGTCCAAAGCTTACTACATCGTAGGAAAATATCAATGTCGATGTTAACGACACTAAAGCAATAATTAAAAAAAAAGGATAATGTATAAAGCCATAAAAGTAATTAAGTGAAATTAGGGAATTGAAAAAACAAACTAATCCAAAACTTAACCTAATTTTCTTAGTAAAATTGTATGTAATCAGTATAATTATAATATAAGAAACATACAAGAAAAAAATATAACAAACACATTGGTAAATAATTTTGTAATAGCATCATTCACTAAATTTTACAATCTCATAGCATTAATCTACATTACAATACAACATGTAAAGCAAAATAATAATAATAATAATAATAATCAAATTATAGAATCCTTCGCCATTTTAAATTTAAACTTCGTGGAGCTTTGAAGACATAGGATTAAACTTTTTTCTTAATCTAAACTCGGATCAATCATTGTTCTAACTTTTTTTGTTATAAAGTTTTCTCTCATGAAAATTTTAAATTTATGTTCAAACTTCGTGTTTAAACTTACCAACTAAACGACACTAATCTTTTTTTTACAATGCCTGGATAATTTTAAAATCATTTATTGACATGTAGATGTTGTGTTGATTAATTACTTCTCACGAAAATTCGTATAAATTGGTATTTGGATTTATGCAAGAGTGTAGATATTATTCCTAAGCGTGCAAAAAATATGTTACAACATGACATTTGAAGTGAAGGACTAAAGATGTTATACTTACCAAAATAACATGAAATTTGATCAAAGACTAGATCATTCATGTGAAGTTTCGCTCTTTTTTTTTCCTCTTAATTATTTTTCGTATGTTAATAATATTGAATAATTTGTAGAAATATCATTGGAAATATCGATATATATCTGCATATTTGGAGAAATTGGAAGAGAGAAAATAAATATAATTACTTTGCAACTATAAATTATATCTTGAGAAAAAAAAATATTTTATGTATACTTAAAGAAGATGTATGAGTTATTTGTATTTAAAGAAACATCTGCAAAGCTACTTTTTTATCTCTACTTAACTAAAAACTCCAAGTCAATAATGACATGAATGAAAAAAATAATAATAATTGCATGTGGCATAATTTTTCGTACCACCATTATTTCCTGTTTTCACAGGCTGCGCATATCCAGGAAAAGTTTGTCTTTAAATCCATATGTGAAGAGAAATGCCAACTTTCATATTTTCTTTGTCAACATATTATAAATATACTAAAAGAATCCCTAAATAAATTTTTGGCTCTTTTAAAATGCCCCGACCTCTAAGCGAGTTATTCTTCCAAGTATGATAACAAATTAAACATATTATTGCCGTCAATTTTTGTCTACCTAAAATCTTTAGATTTGACTTTTAAAAGCTATAAATCTGATTGAAACCCAAACATAACCACACACAAACTCTAAACAAAATATGAAACCACAAGACACATATATTTAGTTCTTCAAACTATAAAATCAACACTACAAATAGATGAGAAGAAAAGAAAAGAAAAGATCAGAGGTGTAGTCGGGGTCCTTTAATATTGGGAAAAACGTCGAACGTTGGTTGGTTTGATCTTCTAGATATATGGAAATGTTCAAGTTCAATTTTCAACTTGTAATTTCCTCTGCTTCGCGGCATACATTTATCACATTAGAGGTTGTCTCGAACATGCCCACAAAACAAGGTAAAGCTGTGAGTGAACGGCATTGGAAAAAAATGGTTTGAAAGAGTTGTCGATTGATGCTTCGCAGCATTTACAAAAGACTATTGAACGTATCGTCCATCGAATCTATGGTGGTAGTGGTGGCGTGTGATGATGAGCATGTAATGGTGTCTCTTTTTCTTAAAAAAAAAAAAAAAAAAATTAATGACCTTTCTCTTCGTATTCAAATTCCTAGGAAAATAGATAATATCATGTTGGATGAGTTTCGTAGTACCCGTGGAGATTCAAAACGGGCTGAGTTTGAGGGGTCGACATGAGCACGACACGTAAAAAATAGTCACGGTACGATGCGACACGATTATTAAATGGACCTAGCCCACCCCGTTTATTAAATGGGGTAGGCTTAACGCAGTTTTTGAGTACGAAACACGCTAAGGGTGAGACACGCTAAGAGCATGACATGAGCAGAAATGACGAGCATGTTAAAAGCACGATAAGAGCCCAATTAATGAAAATAAAGTATAAAACTAAGTGATAATTATACTACATGATAAAATTTCATACCTTAATATAAAATTTAAGATTTTTTATTAAGATTTTTAATAACAATACAAATAATAATTAAATTAATAAAATAGAAACTTAACCGATTCATACAAATAAAAACTAAATAGTTCTTAAAAAAATACTTTATTAAGTTATGGCAAATGGACAAAATAAGTGCAAATTAACCTATATGATAATATTATCATATCGGTTAATGATATACTTTTTGTTTTCAATGCTTATTTCTTTGTATTCGTTATAAATATTTATTTGGTACGACAAAGACACTTTAAAAGCACGCACGAGTATGGGCATAATCTAAACACGTTAAGGGTACGACCCATATATAAATAGGTCGAGGCTAACGTGACGCCTTAAAAATTAAATGGGCTAGACCCAACATAATACGATAAATAAATAGACTGACCCAAGCACAACACAAGGCATGCTTGGGCCTAATTTAAATAGGCCAGGCTGACATAATTATCATCTCTAGTACCCAAAACGAGGTAAAATAAGTCTTATGATATTGACTTTTCTGAGAATAGAAATTAATAATTATTGTATCAAACATGAGAATTTCAATTACCCTTAAAATAATTGTATATTAGATGCCCTCTAAATAGCATGCTACACCTTCTAAAAGTCCTTAATTTTATAGTTCAGACTAGTAGCCTTCGACTAATCTATTTTTATGATATAAATCCAAAGCTTTAATATTTGAGATTTGAATCCAAAGCTACGATTGTTTGTGGCATTCCTCAAAATTCTTCAAAGAATTAGGGGTATGTTCTTTTCACATTTTAGTTGAGAATTTGAGTTTAAAAGTGAATCTTATGCGAGAAAAAACATTACATTAAAAAAATTTTGAGTTGTGAATAGAGCTGTAAATTTGAGTTAGGCCAAACGGGACGGCCTGAGGCTCCCATTGTTGACCTGGTCCTAGCCGAGCTAAGGTTTTAAGCCTGAAAGCTTATTGGGCCGCCAAACCTAACCCAAACGTCCTCATTTAAAAAAAAATGTAAATGCCTTATAAAATTCTAGGCTGAGCCGTGCAGGCCCTAGGTCTTTTGAGCTTTAGAGTCGGGCTGGGCCGACCCTCTCCCTTTTAGGACAAGGTAAACTTAGCCTGAAATTTATGTTCAGACCACTGAGCTTGGGCAGCCCGAACTTTCACCTCTAATTGTGAATTGTGATTCAAGTTGGAAAAACACCATGCCCTAGAATTTCCTATATCACTAGTAAAGTTATGAACTTGGACTTGGAAATGACACTATTTAATTTAGTTTAAAAACCTAAAACTACCACTTAAGATGGTAAAAAAAAATTATAAATGTCACTCTACTTAAAAATTAAAAATTGTCATTATAAAGAAAAAAACAAAATATCATGACAACACTCAAGTATTTATGATGTCATAAATAATAGGTATGTATAAATACTATGACAAACCATATATTTTCAAGAAAATTATAGATTTTGTCTCTTTAAGTATATGACTTACTAAAAGTATTTGTTTTAGAAAACTCTATCCTTTAATTAGTTCTAATTTAAAAGGTAAAAATATATAAAATAATGGTAAATGGTAAAAATAAAAGGAGACTCAATTTCACGAGTATTCTTTAAAATTGCCCGATATTTTCTCTGAAAATTTATGAACTTGGACTTGGGACTTTCCGGCCTCAATCCATAATCGGGCCTACGCTCTATAGCCCATATGACCTCGTTGGTCCATGGACCTTATTTTTCATTTCACGAGTATTCTTTTTTCAGCAGAAAAATATTTATTTTCTTGTCCGAAAAACAAAATGAAAAATGAAAAAGAAAAAAGGCACCGGCGATCACGGTGTTTGATTGAGGATGGTGAGTTTCCAGCCCATCCCAATCACACACCATTCATTCATTCCCATAAAACATTCAAAACACCCCTTCAGGCCCCCATGTGAGCACCGACAGGCGACAGCGCCAGCTTGCACATAATTGCAAGCCGCATGTGATCCTCTACGCTCGTTTCCTCAAATCTTCTCTATACACCCCACTCTTGTCCCAAAATAAGACAGACAAAAAGACGAAAAAGCCCCTATTAGACCACATGGCACCTTTGCATTAGATAAATAGAATAGATCTAGAAAACTACAAAATTCTCAGACACACGCCAAAACATCAGCGCACGCGTTTTCACTCAATTACCCATCCACACCCGCAATTACTTTATTTCACTCAACTCCTTGCCTTTTCCTTTTTATCCCTCTCTTTCCCCTTTCATTTCTCATCTCTCTTGGCTTTGTCTTCTTCAAATCTCTCACATTCTCCATCTCTTTTTCTGTTCTTTGAAGAAACCATCAATGGCGAAAACAGTTCTGCTAATCGCGCTTTGCCTTTTGCCGGCGCTGGCCGTCGCGAGCCGCCCAATGAAGAACCCGTTTATCGTGGAAGGGAAAGTGTACTGCGACACCTGCCGTGCCGGTTTCGAGACCTCCGCCACCACCTACATTCCCGGTAAGTCGCTCACTTTTGTGTTTACTGTTCTTGTTTAGTGTATGTGAATGGCGGCTACTACAACATTAGTGAGTGAATTGCGGATCTGATTTATTTTGGATGAAAAGACTAGATCTTTTAGATTTGGAACCCAAGAGATGCGGGTTTTGTGGTTTTGCAGCGAGAAAGTGGTTGATCTGCTTGATCTGAGTGATTATGAGTGATTTTCGCTGTTAGACGTTCTTGTTTTTCGATTTGCATTTTAGGATAGCGATAGTAAGCATCTCTTAACTAGGCCTTGGCTTGAAATGTGCCTGTTTTTGTGCTCATAAACTTAAAGGAAAAATCTGATTTTGATGTGTAATAATGTTGTTTTTTTCCCATTATTATTATTATTTCTTGTCGAAAGGTTTACGGTTTAGGACAGCCTTTAAAGAAAGAATTGGACTATCTTTACGGTTACGTGGTTTGCCTATCTGTACATATGTAACTCTTTTTTGTTATTATTATTATTATTATTATTATTATTATTATTCATCCGAGTTTGTTTATTGCCTTTATGGAAAATTGTTGTAAAGTTTGAAACTTTAGATTTGATGCTACTGAATATAATTATATGCTTAATAGTTGCAGATTTATAAATTAGTTGGTTTCATTAATATGCTTTCTTTGAGTTCAGTTTTGTTTCCTGAGGTTGTGTAAATTGGCTGATAGACTTCCTAGATAGCTGAGTGAGATTTCATTCCATTTTTGCGCGGAAAAACAAAGGATATCGCTGGTCCATATCAACTTGATCATGTTCAAGTTTATGTATATCGTATAAATAGGCAATAAAGTATTGCCTGCATTGGTCATCTAACGTATGATCATCAGTCTGCATTACTTGAGCCTGTATAGTATATATTGCATTGAATCTTGTAAATCTTCAATGTTAAGACCAAACCTTATAAATTGATAAAGGGTATGGATGGCTGAAACCCTTGTAAAACCTATTACCTTACTAAACTGTTTTATGATTTCTCGACATTTGTTATCGTTTTTTGGATTTGAGAGTTGGGGAGATTTGATCTGAAGATTGTTTTCAACGTTAAAAGTGGATGTGGAATTATCACCAGGCTAAGCCTGCAACCGCTTCCCCTCCTTATTCTCATGTTCCATCTTAGTTCCTCATTAAATGCATATGATGTACAGGTGCGAGGATTAGAATAGAGTGTGTCGATAGGAATGCTCCATCGAAGGTTCTTTTCCGCAAGGAGACAACAACAGACTCTGAGGGATGCTACAGCATGTTGGTTGCTGAGGACCATGGGAACCAGATTTGTGATGCTGTTGTTGTTAGCAGCCCTCAACAGAACTGTGCGAAAGCAGCACCTGGCCGTGACCGTGCCCGTGTCATTCTCACCGGCTACAATGGCATTGCATCAGAAAAGCGTTTTGTGAACAATATTGGATTCGAGATGGATGAGCCCCTGGCTCTTTGCTCAAATGTTCTCAAGCAGTACCAGGAGACGGAATACGAAAATTAGATGCGGTTCTGAGATCCTCTAATGAGTTCATGTTATAAGTTATAACTCGCTTGGCTTTTCCTATAAATATACATATATATCTATTTACTTCTGATGGTTTGTTGTCTCCATATTACAGACCTTTAATCTTTATTTGTTAATTGAATCCACATCAACTAAGATACTGTTTCAGACTCCGTTATCGTAGTAAATGCACTTTCTTCTTTATTAATAAACTGATTGGTTGTGTTCATCTCATTTGTGTACTTTGAATTTTAATGTTGTTTGCTGGAGACAATTATCCTCTTTTTGGGTTCTTTTTTCCTAAGTATAGACTTCATTGCAGCAAAAGCAAAACAGCATCTAAACCAACAGATAAAAAAAAATAGAAAGAAAGAAAATAGATAGCAGAACTGAACAAGAGCATGTGCAGATCTCAGAAAACGGAGTTTCTGATCGCAGAAATCATGCACAGGAAGACCAGCAGAAACAATGGCCGCCACAACCAAGGTTGAAATCCCTTTTCCCCTCTACAGATCTCTGTTGACTTAACATGCATTTCTACAAAAATAGTTCCAGGAGAAGGGGAAAACTCTGTTCAGGAAATAATTAATGGTGGGTGCCGATTCGGATACATGCCTTCACTTGAAGAGGAGAGAGAGAGAGAGAGCTACGACAGCAGCTACAAGCGGCATTGGCATAAAAACTTCCTGTTTTGTCTTTTTTGTCTTATGGGACGTTGAGGATTTAAATCATAATTTGAATCATGATTTACGATAGTATTTTCTCTCATAAAAAATACATATAAATTAAAAATAATTTTAATATATGAACCAAATGTCTTTTTAGTAACTCTAGCTCTAATTATGTTAATTATTTTATATTTTTAAAAAAAATAATAATTGTAATTATGAGTCATTTTAAATAGATAGTTAATGATTTAAATCTCGTCATTTCACTAATTTTAATTTTAAATTTTAATTTTATTATAATTAAAATTTTTTATAAAAAATTATATTTATTTTTTTTATTATAATAAAAAAATTTTAATTAATTTTACTTTTTTTAATTATTAACCTTTTACACTAGTTAAATATATATATATATATATATATTTTTTTTTTTTTTAATTGAAAGAATTGCGTGCTCTTCTGAGAAAATATTGGGGAGAACACGTTCTTTCCCCTTTTTTATCTACTACTTCTACTTTGAGAATTTCTCTTAATCAATCACTTTGAAGTTCCCACCCACCATTCCTTCGATGACGGAGGCGAGTTTCTCAGATTGAACTTCTCCACCGCGTCGTCGAAGAGGCGCGACTCTTCCTCCGTGTACCCTTCCGGCACATCGACGACGCATGACTCCAAAACAACGGTCCAGATCTGGTCCGTAGCTAAAAATCAGAATCATTACCATATGAGACGTGGTTGGGGTCCGTCCAAATTGCGTTGAAGAAGTCTCGGAGTATCGGATCTCCTGACGGAGAGTGGCGTGAAAGCGAACAGCATCCACCAAGAAAGAAGAACCATTTGTTAAGTTTGGTTACTGATTAATATGTTTATGTTTTCGCTTAAACAATATTGTGAGAAAAGTGAATAGCCTGGGAGTTTATGAAATTACCCGTTTAATGGCCATCTCTTTTCCTTGTAGAAAGAGTCCCATATCTGGATAGTTGGATTTTTGCAGCGATTTCAATAGGCATGTGAGAAGATTTTTGTAGCGATTGTTTATCCTAATATGTTCAAACAGGTGAGTGCAAACTGGATTTCAAAAATTTTCTGGGGACTAGGGTGTTGAGAAAAGTGGCATTGGGTTGACGCCGTTAAGCCGGGGCTAAGAGCATGTACACGGAGCTCTTTAAATTTATTTTAACTAGTAATTTCTTAATAAGAATTTGTTCATTTATATTTTTTGAATTAAGATGACTTGAGTTCAGATCTTAATTTAAATTAAAATATATTTGAGTATAGTTTGAGTTGAGACTCTAATTTGAGTTTGTGTTTGGATAAACACATTTTGAGTTATGATTTGAATTGAGAATTTATTCTGTTTGGGTGGGTCAAAATTTGAATTTGTATTTAGATAGTATTTTAACAAAAACTTAATGGCGATGGAAAATTTTAATATGGTATGTGGGTGAGGGTTTATTCGTCTCTTCGTTGTGAACTCATAGAAAAAAAATCATCTAAATCGGAATTAAAATGAAAAAATTGTGGCATTTTATTGTTCATTAATTTGAGTTTGATTTTAGGAACTTGAATTGAAAGTGGGAACTTGAATTCAAATTTTAGCCTCAAACTCAAGTTAAAACTCAAATTCAAACTCAAATTTTATAAAAGAATATGAATTTGAATAAAGTTGTAATTTGAGTTCAATATTTTTTTTTTAGGTTAAACACCAGACGAACAATTCCTAAGTTATTTTAATTATACTCTCTATTTTAACTAAATATAAGTTATTTTAATATTTATTAAATTTAAAATAGAAATAATTTTATTGAGTTTAAAAAAGAACATTCTAGCTAAATTCTAGCTAAAGCTATTTTAACTAGTAACATTTTAATAAGTCATTATAGCCGTATTCTCTATTTTAGTTAAACATAAGTTATTTTAATATTTATTAAGTTAAAATAAAAATAACTTTATTGAGTTTAAAAAAGAACTTTTGTATTTATTATGGTTTGAAGAATAAAATAATATAAAAAATAAAATAATTAACTTTTTCATGTTAGTTATATTTATTTAGTGTGAAATGTATTTTTTAAAATAACTAACTATTTAACTAATAATTGTAGCGGAGAAAAACTAAAAAACAAGTTAAATCATTAGTTAATTTTGTTAAAAATATAAAATGACTAGTAACAATGTCATTCAATCCTCTACCGGATTAGAAATGCAAAGGCCTCTCCTTTTTATTTTCATTTTGTTTGAGGCGGACCGAATTTGGAATGTCAAAGAAGAGCTGATGTATAAAGTTTTAACGAGGTGCCAAATTTTAAGTGGAGGACAGCTAAAGAGACAATCAATTGAGACAATAGATCTAGACTCAGCGGGAGTGACTAACCATTTTATTTTTATATTATTGTATTCTTTTAATTGTAATAAATGTAAATTTTTTTTTGAATTCAATAAAATTATTTATATTTTAAATTAAATAAATATAAAAATAATTTATATTAATTAAAAATAAAAAATATGGTTAGAGTGATTCAAAAAAAAATTACTAATTAAAATTATTTTATAATTATTTTAATTCGAATTTAGTTAAAATTTAGAGAGTTCTCTTAGATGTGCTCTTAGTATTTCAAACACATTAGCAGAACGTTCTTCACAATTTGTCATTAAAAAATCATAAAATTTAAAGTACGTGAATCTAAATTTTTACATCTCATTTTTAATTAATATTTTTTAATTAATATAATTATTTAATTAAAAATTATTTTTTTAAAATAAAAAATAAAAATTCTGATTCATATTAAAAGTGATATTTCTCCTTTTCCTTTTGTCATTCGAACTTAACAGCCCGTTTATAATATTTAGTAGTCAACAGTGGTCAAGATAACATTTGTTACTCTGCCTTTGCCTAAGAAAAGTGATTTTGTTCTGTATATTGCTACAATTTCAACATCTGTAGCGCGACGAAAAAAAAAAAAAAACCAGTCCAAGTGGACAAGAGACGACCATTCAAATAGAGCACCAAAAAAATAATGATGATAAAACCCCACACGTTTCGCCAAGGGGGAGTGGAATATCAGAGCGAAAAAAAAAGGGGGGAGTGGAATATAATAGAGGTATATTCCTCGGACAAAAAAGGAGCTGAAAGGGTCACAAACTCTTAATTATAATGTCACATGAGAAAATGATGTATGTATCACATATTATGTGTTATGCAAATGCATTTTTTTCTTTTTTTTTGGATCAGCTGTGCAAATGCATTGTTATTAGTTAGGTGGTGTACGTGTTGGTTTGAGAAGGCAAGAATTTGCATGACATAAGCACGTGTTGTGTCAAACTTCCCTACATAGAAAGTGTTTGGGGTGTTAGGTGGTGCGTATTCATGACTTTGAAGGTTTGTTTTGTTTTTTTTTTTTAAATATTCAGGTTTGGTTGGTTTGAAAGTTTTGGCCTTTTTAACTTCCTAAAGGACAACTTGGACAATCTTATATTACAAGCACGCCAACTATGAAACTTTATATTTCCCAGCTATTGTTAAGCTATTTTGACTGAATTAATAAACTTTATAAGCCTAAATTGCTCGTGCTACAAAAGAAATGGAGAGAAGTATAGAGTTAATAAAGCCTACAAATCCCCAGTTGGGGTTTCAAGCAAATGTTCATTAATCGCTAATCACATTAGTTCTTAGATTTGGTTAAATCAATTTAACAAAAACAAGTATAAAAAAGAATTTCAAAAAAAAAAAAATAATGATGTTTATTCACATCATTCTTTAAACATTTTATAGATTTACATGTGCATTACTAATTTATAGCAGCCCACAACTCCTCTTAACAAACTCCTTATTAAAACATTAAAAATGAAAAACACAACTTATGAAATTAGATTTACATGTGCATTATTAACTTGGGCAGCTCCAATCCTTTCATTCAAAATTAGATTTGTCATAACTATTAACTAATCTAATAAGCAAATATGTGCTTAATTCCAAGATTACAGAAATATCAAAGAAAATCTACTCAAAATTTTTTATTTTAGAAAAAACAGCGCGGAGTTGAAATGTCGAAAAACCCCAGCGTAAGAATCCAGCTACCCAGCAAGGCCATTCTATTTTCTCTTCTTGCCAACTCAGGAAAAAAAAAAAAAAAAAAAAAAAAAAAACTTGTCATCATACTGTTCTTACAGAACATATTTGAAGACAAAAACCAAACAACGATTTCTCCTATACGTACAAAAATAAATGCAACTTTTGTTTGAAACGGACGTGTAAGTTGTAAGTTGTGTAAACTCCATCATCTTCTTCTCCGTCAACCTCTCTCGTAATAAACTCTGTACCCCCTTTACACTTTTTCCCTTTTCTGCCTCGGTTTCTTCGCCTTGGCCTATATATACACATATATAACCTGGTAAAGTCTCCACTTTGACGAAACTCATTTTTTTGCTTTCTGGGCATTTTCGTTTCTGGGCTGCTCTGTTCTTTCTGTATTAATTTGTTGCTGTTGCTGCTGGGTTTGTGCTTTTCTTTCATCATTATGCATTTAATTTGTTATGTATATGTATATTCTCTTTCTCTACGTTAATCGGGTTCTTTGAAACTTTAGAGGATTTTGCGAATTCCCCTTTCTGTTTTGCAATTGCGAAGAACTCCTTTTTAATGCAGATCTGCAAATGACTATTTATTGCACCAATTTAAAACTTTTGTTTTGCTAGATGATGCCAAACCTCCTTTAACTTTTATTTCTTTTTCCTGTTTTCCCTTTGTTAATTTGACTTCTATTTATGGCAGTTATGATCCTGACGAAATAAGCTTTTGGTTGCTAATGTGTTTTAACTCCAATTGATGCTTTTTAAGATTTTGACAAATTGAATCACTTGATCTAACCCAACGTGGGTATATTGACCTGAGGCCATATTTATTCTTTATATATATATATATATATATATATTTTTTTTTTTTTTTTGCTGAGTAAGTTGCATGTTTTTACAGAATCTTTTAAGATCCCATTTTCCTTTATTTTTCCTTTTTTCCATTCTTAATTAAGCTGTTTACTCATTCAAATATCATGATGTTTTTCTTGATGCTCATGCTTTTGCCGCATTAGAGAAAACAAAATACTAGTTGTATACATACATACATACATACATACATATATACATACATAAATATATATACATATATATATATATATATACGCGCTTACCAAATGGGATGTTGTGAATTTTGCAGAATGGCTGCCACAGTATTTCATCAAGCAATTGGAACACTTCAGTCAAATGGTTATTTAAAAAACTCAGGCCTTCATCAAGAGATTAGGGATGGTGCTGTGAGATTACCACTAAAGGGTTTTAAGCTCGAGCTTGGAGTGTCAAAAAGAGCATGTCACAGCTCTGGCTCTAGAAACTTCGGCGTAATTCAAGCCTCGGTTTCTCAAACATCTGTGGTTGATCCAGTTTTGTCTCCCGCAAACAAGAACACTAATGAACCTCGGAAGAAATCTAGTAAGTAAACCTCATAAAATGTTGATTGTGTCATACAATAATTCCATGTGGTAAATGTCATGTATCGTAAGGAGTCGTTGTTGACATATTTATTTTCTTAGCTAAAAATGGTGAATTCAATACTGGTTTCAGATGAAGCAGCTTTGATTCTGATACGACATGGTGAGTCATTGTGGAATGAAAAGAACTTATTCACCGGTTGTGTTGATGTGCCTCTGACCAAAAGGGGTGTGGAGGAGGCTATTGAAGCTGGTAAGAGAATTAGTAACATACCCGTCGACATGATCTATACGTCTGCGCTAATTCGCGCGCAAATGACTGCTATGCTTGCCATGACTCAGCACCGTCGTAAGAAGGTAATTTAGGGACTTTGCCTGTGATAGAAAACAGAAATTTTTGTCATACTAGTAAGCGTGTTGTGATCTTATTTTAATGATAGTATGCACCTGATATTAATGTATAGTTTGAACATAATTTTTCATTAATGGTCGTTAGTGCATACTTGGCAGCGATTAGACAGTTTATGTTTTCTGGTTTTTTTAAGACATCAGAATCATATTAAATTTAAAAAATAAAAATAAAAATGACAACGTAACAGAACCTGATAAAAATGTGACAGTTCTTATATCCAAATCATATTAAATTAAAAACAAAAGGTATAGCAAGAATTCTCCGTTTTTTGTTTATAAAAATGGAAAAGACTAAGATGTCCCAAGCAAATTATCACCATGTTTTCTTCAAAAATATTAAACGGGAAATGGTAAATATTACCAATAAGGACTTAGAATTTGATGTACACTACATGTGCTGACATGTTTCTATCAATATTCCCGCAGGTGCCCATCATTATACATAATGAAAGCGAACAGGCGAGGGCTTGGAGTCAAATTTTCAGTGAAGACACCAAAAAGCAGTCCATTCCAGTTATAGCATCTTGGAGATTGAATGAAAGAATGTACTTATTCTTCCTTTGGCCTTTCTTCTTGTTTGTCTTGAAATTGTCCCTTTCTTTAAACAACCCTGCATGACTAACAAACTATTCTTTCCAGGTACGGTGAATTACAAGGTCTCAATAAGCAGGAAACGGCAGATAGATACGGGAAGGAACAAGTTCATGAGTGGCGTCGGAGTTACGACGTACCTCCCCCAAATGGCGAGAGCTTGGAAATGTGTGCTGAAAGGGCCGTTGCTTATTTCAAAGATGAAGTACGCGTTTAACTCTTTGGTTTTTTCTTATCTAATCGCGCTACATCATTTTTCCGATATGAATTCTCTACGGTTCTTAAACACCATCATTCTATAGCATCCGATAGCTGATATACCTCACTCACTGCAGATTGAACCCCAACTTTTATCTGGAAAGAATGTGATGATTGCTGCTCATGGGAATTCACTGAGGTCCATCATTATGTATCTTGACAAACTAACTTCCCAAGAGGTGATTAAAATCTCTAGCATTTTCTGTATGATATTCTTCTATAAATAATGCTAGGGACCCCAACTTCTTAGTACCAACTGCGTGGTATTTTTTTATTGGTATGTGATTGAAAAATTGCCATGTCGGTTAATATTAAATAATGGCATCTACTAGAAAAAAAAAAAAAAAAAAAAAATGACAACTCCCAGCTGCCACATGAGTTGGTATCTAAAAATTGCAATCCCTACCTTTACTCTTTTCTTACAGCAACAATAAGATCTTTACACTCTGTGTTGCACATTTCTTCTCAGGTTATTAGTTTAGAACTGTCGACCGGAATTCCCATGCTTTACATTTTCAAAGAAGGTAGATTCATTAGGAGGGGAAGTCCAGTTGCGCCTTCTGAGGCTGGGGTCTATGCTTACACCAGGGTATGCCTACTTGTTTCAGATCTAATTGTATTGTTGTTGTTCCATCCATTGTTTGTCTCATGTACTTGGAAATTTTTATTGCAGACTTTGGCTCTCTACAGGCAGAAGTTAGATGAGATGGTCAATTAATATGTTGTTTTAGCATACAAAGGTGGGCAAAAATGTGACCTTTAATAAGATGGGGTCAATTAATAGTTCTTATGATTTTTGAAAAAAAAAAAAATATATATATATGCTCACCCTTTTTTTTTTCAGGGGTTGTGATCAACTAGTGTTAATACCTATTATTGTATTAACTAGGTTGCGAGTGAGAAAACTGATGTAATGGCAATGTATTTTTATGTAAAACATGTGGCTGAAAGGTCTCTTTCTCTGTGTAATGTTTTCATGCACCCTCAAGTTTTGTTGCTTTTAGGTCCTTGTAACAGCTGTGTGAAATATTTCCATGCTTAAATCTTTGTAAAGTTCATATGTTTAGTTATAGTTTATTTACCGTAATTTGAAAGCGGGAATTAAAGAACCTCCTTTTCCTTTTTTTAACTTTGAAAATGAAATTGGATCTAAAAACTCTAAACGTGTCGAAATAAGTATTTTTTTCCATGTGTTGGAATAATTGTCTAAAGATGTTTGATGGGTCAAATCCACTATTTTCAGTCTGCACGTGTGTGAACGTACAGAGATACCGATTTACAAGGTCTTGATCAGAAGCTCACAAGACTCTGTCCTTTATTTGGCCATGTTACACGATGTGGACTCAGACAGGGATTTCTCAATGATTCTCTTTTAACGTCGGAACTGATAAGTTGACTAGGTTTTAGTTGTTCTCAACGGTCTTTGTAAATCTTATGAGGTTCAAATTCTGTTTCGAGCCCTCAGATTTTTACTTTCATTGGGTTATCATTAGCTTCGCAAACTTTTTTATTTGAACATGATTTTTAACAAGCAAAGCTGCTTACCATAGAATGACTCAAAAGAATAAAACTAAAGTCCAAACTGCATTAATTTAATGAAAACAAGTTTAAGACGGATTCTGAGTTGTCTTACAAGTGATCAACGGAGATTAAAAAGAAACCATTTAGCTAATCTTGACCATCAATGTTTATCACTATCCAACAATCCAAAACATTTCCTTCCAGGTTTTACTGCCAAATTAAGGCTTCGTTTGGTTGGAGGATTCAAATCATGATTTGAATTATGATTCATGATTCGCTACAGTGTTTTCTTTCACAAAAAATACACGTAAATCAAAAATGATTTTAATCACATGATTCCAATCTATAAATTAAACGTCTCCTAAATACAGAGAAGTAAGAACTTCATAAACATAAAATGCTAAACTATGTCGTAATAACACACAAAAAGAAAAAAAGAAAAAAAAAAGATGTATTTTCAATCACATTTGATCAACTCATATAAGATGAAATCAATTCATGAAATGTCCGAACAGTAACAACACCAGTTGAGAGCTTAAAGTTTTACAAAAAAGAACTTGGGGATTTTCAAGTTCCTAAATGAACAATCAAAGCGGTATCAGTAAAGACTACTACTATTCAGCCGTGTTACCATACCTCAACTACTAAGATTATGCAATACCCGTCAGTCATTAGTTTCACTCACTGCATCTCTTCAGTAGGATTTGTACCGCCGGTATCCGCAAGCTTATTATTGTGATCTGGTGACACCACATCTGATTCTACCCCATGCGATTGAGAACTGTTCGCCTTCTCACTGTCAGAAGGATCAGAATCTTTGTCTAACTTGACAGAATCCGAGGATGGAGCGTCTGTGAGGACTGGTTGCGGGGGCACTGAAGGATCTGCTCGTGTCCAGAAAGCACGCATCCTTTTGTCATCCTCTCTCATTCTCTCTGCATACTTAGTTATGTCAAAACCTGTATTGTTATTCCCACCAAATGCAGACTCCAGCTGATCCATATCGAAGAGATCCTCCATTATCTTGTTGGTGTTAGCATCGTTTGAATAAACGAACTTGACTTTATCGCGAGTTTTTTGGTCCAGGAAAGGCTTTACTATCTGAAATTGTACATTCTTTGTTGTCACAAGTAACACAATGTGAAAATTGAAACTAACAGCGAAGCAGTAATGATATGCTGAATGTGATACCGGAAATCGACAATAAAGAGGCCACACCTTCCAGAAAGACTCAAAGAACTTGGGTGGATTGTAGAGTATTGCAAGACCTAAGCGTTCTGGATAGCGGTCTTGCAAAACATGGGCAGTTTCCCTTGTCACATTCACTGAGACATGCGACAGCTTGTAACCCTGAAAGTCAATCAGCCAAACCATCTGTTCCTGACCTTGTTGCATATTTAACACCGCATTCTCCATGCAGTAACACAAATACCTGATTTTTCCTTGAGTCGACTTTGAGTTCTACAGTACAACAATAATATAAACATCAAGTCAAGCATAATTAGAGCCTATAATTCTCAAGATATTTGCACTGTTGTTATTAGCCTATGAAATTCTTCTTGCAACAAGTATCTATCAGAACACTTTGACATTTTGGCTAAGCTAGATGAAGTATAGGGCAAAGAAAAATGCTGATAAGCTCCAGTGTGTCCCACATGAGGGAAAGGCCTACATGTGGAGCCCACTTATATTCGATGTGATGCCCAACACTAATAAAGTTGAATAGCACTACTCTAGGACAAATAAGTAATGGTTTTACAATAGATAGGAACATTGCTTCTAAATGTAGCTTCATGGAGAGCAGACTAATAGAAACATTACAAAGTATATGCACAGAGGAAAATGGAGGAAACCTCGAAACTAGGTCTCATGACCAGAACTGTTCTTCCATGCTTGTCAGTGTAATTTGATCTGTAAATTTTCCCGGTTTCTGCTTCTTGAGCTACCTCTTCCTATATAGCAAGTAATATTGTAAGAACAATATTATCGCTCAAAAAGTAATTATACAAAGCTGGTACCTAAAGCCCAAAACCATACGCCAAAAGAGTTCCAGTAGCATACCCAGCGAATCTCTTCAGGTTTGTTTTCTGACGACCACTTTAAGCTCTCTTTTAGCATCTTAGTTGCCTTCTTGACATGCCAGTTTCTTGCCATTAAGTATCGCTGGATTGTTGTATCAGAACAATATATGGAAAACTTATCTGACAATGTCCCTAGAGACCCCCTCACCTCGTTAACCTGCAAACACGAGAAAAAGCATTGAGAAGTAAGTTTTTCTAATTGTAACTTTTTCTCATCAAACTTCTTGGTATCAAAGAAGAGGACTTATTTATGAATACACTAAGATAGGATAATAACAAAGGATAAGATACCATTGCCTGCTGATCTTCTGATGCTGAAATCTTCTCGCTTCCAGTCGAAGCAGATTTCTTTGTGCTTGAACTCATAGCTTCTAAAGAAGACTCCTACAAAAATAAAAACTCCAGATTCTTACCATTGTTTCTATTTTCACTGTATCTTCAATGTCATTGCTTAATTAGTACAAGAAACTCAATATCTGCAATAAAAAGCATTTTAATCATCCTTGAAAATAGAAGAAAACTTTTTCAGCATTATTATAAGTCATCACACAGATTAAGAATACTCCCCAGCTAAACAGAAATTAAATGCTTAAGTTAAATAATTTAGAAATCAATGCACCATTGGACGTATAGAAAAACACAAATTTTGCAGCAGTGGACAGACAGCCCTCAAATACATTCACTACAAAAGAAAGTCTTTATTTCAATTGAACTTAGTTATGTGATATATTTAACCCCATGAACATGCCAGTTCTCAATTTTCACATGAAAGTGACCGATAAAGACCAATTGTTCATCGCCATCCTATCTGAAAGAAAAGATACTAGAGATGAACAATATTCGAAAATTTTCCGCATGCCTGGTATCTTTTTGTCAGTATGAAACTTCAAGAAGGTTCAAAAACATATTGTTGAAACATTGAAGTGGGTCTCGCGCTTTCATGTCCAGAAACACCATGAACAACACAAGAAACACGTAGAACTTTCCAAGAAACACGACGGGATTATAAGTTTCAACCGAGGACCACTTTAGTTAACATCACCAGGTCATTTTCAGTTCCCATTAATTAGGAACATAGAGGACTAAATCTAACTTTCAATAAAAGGACCCAGTTTTCACCTTTTCTTTACTAGACACCTGTTTCTGTTAGCAACTCAATAATGCAGCCAATTCCTATATTCCAATTCAATAACATCAACACCTTCATATCGAAGAAACGGAACTTGACGAAAATACGGCATTCTAGAACTGCTTAGTGCCAATAGGCTTTCTTTTCTTTTTCTTTTTCTTTTTCTTTTTGGTGCCTAGCCTGTAATTCTTCCCATTTCAATCCGTTTACAATGCAATCAGTTAGAAGTCAACTTTCAAGAAAAGATCCCTTAATTGAGTATGTCCCATTCTTCAGAAGCACTTCTGTGCAAGTTCTAAAAACTACTCGAAAGTTCCAATCGTTATGATCAATAATCATAACAACCCACCTCCTGATTTTAGTAGACTAACACATTCATTCAATTAAGAAACAGAAACTGAGATAAAAATTGAAGTCAACGCTTTCTTGGATCAGCATTGGACTAACCCCCGAACATATAACAAATTTAAGACGTAAACAAACCATGAAAATAGGAACATGATTATTCTCCCAACAAATGATTAAAACCCAAAAAGAAAAAAGAAGAAGAAGAAAATCCATGTGTCGTATAGTAAAGAGAAGATTCAAATGCAGAAATGGAAACTGACCTGACTGATTAAGTCAAGAAATGGAAGCCCAAAGCGTCCGAGCAAAAGAGCTATTGTTTCCGAGTAAGAAAGAAAACCAAAACCAAACGAAACCAACCAAGGAGTCAAACTTGAGAAAGAATATCCGTGTCTATACCATAGGAAATGGATCTTGATTCTTGGAGATGGGTTTTGGGTTAACTGGAAAGGAAGGATGTTATTATTTTTATAACTACTATTATAGTATAGTTTCTGCTTCAAGTGGAAGAGTATTATTTTTAATTAATTGGATCCACAGGGTGCTGATTCAGAATCAAGGATAGTACAAAAAACCGGTAAAATGGGTGAACCCGAAAAAGAGTATTAACGCCTTCTCTATGTTGTTCGTTGTTAGTGGTTTGGACCTTTTTGCATTGGAAATTTGTGGTTTGGACTTTTATACAGCACTGCACAGTGAATGGTGTCATTTCGATTATATATATATATATATATATATATACATATATTTTAAATCTTTACCTTGTAGCAAGTTATTTTACTCAGACAATTATTTTTAACTGTTCTGTTAATTTTTTAACGATTATATTTATATATATTTATATTAAAAATTTATAACTCACCACACAAAATTATTTTTGTTACAGATTTAATTGTTAAAAAATTAATTTAATAATAACAATACAATTTTTACCGATAGAGGTACAGACTCCTACATAATTATTTTTGTTATAAATCTAACCCTTAAAAAATTAAATTAACAGTAACAATACAGTTTCTGTCGATAGGAGTACAGACTCCCTTTTTTTTTTCTTAATGTTTAGGCCAATTAAGTGGCGCTTTAATGCTAAAAGTCAGAACTGTCCCTTAGTACTCAAGTTTATTGGTCTAGTTGCTGTGAGTTTTAGCATGATGGCAAGGGTAATTTTGACCTTTAGAAAAACTTAAGGAGTCTAGGACAAAGAGGAAGCCAACAACAGGCAAGGGAACACGAAGAAATGGGTTTCTTCTAGATTCCGGTGAAGTATCAAAACGGACACTCTGGCCAATTTTGTTTGAAACAAATTGTATTTACGCCTTCCTTTTTTCCTTCCTTGTCCGTGACTTTAGTTGATGGTCTGTGTTGATGTGTACTTTTAAAGCCCGTTTGGTAGAGTTTTTTTATTTTTGTTTAAAAATAAGAGACTTTTTTTTATATCTCTTTTTTTTTGTATGAACACTGGTATTTTTTGTTTATTAACAATTAAATCTGTATTAAATCTGATCAAAAGTTAAATTAAATTAAAAAAATAATACATATTTGATTACTGATAAATAAGAAATATTAGTGTTCTAAAAAAGAAGAAACACCAGATAAATTCCCTAGAAAGAATAGGAAATTAGTGAACTCATCTTTTAAATGCATTATTCTAAGATTTATACTTTTTATCTCTTTTTTTAGTATCAATTACTCTTTATCTCTTGATTAATACATTTCTGACTAATATAATTTTTTAACTAAAGCGTATTAATTAAGTGTAAGAGATGAAAATTGAAGACCCGTACATTTTAAGAGATATCTGTCTCGTTTTCTCTTTTGTTTATCAGTAGAAAAAGAAAAATAAAAGTTGTATTTTTTCAATAAATGTGTCAAACCACATTTTTAAAAGAGCTTATTAAGTTAAAACAATTTTTAAGTTTCCCAATAATAATAAGTGTTTGAATGAAATTTAATTTTAGTATCAATTTATTCATAAGTGCTTTTTTTTTTTCAGAAACCTCATTTTTTAGTTTTGAAAGGAAACTCTTTCGAAACACTTCTAATAGATCTAAACACTTCCAGAAACATTTTCTAAAACCAAGAAGTCAAAAACAAGCTCACCCGAATAAACCTTATGTCATTTAAAAATGATTTTGAATGTCTTAACCATAGACGTTTGGTTCATGAATTCAGAATTATGATTCAGAATTATTTTTAATTTACGTGTATCTATGATTTAAACTATAATACGAATCCACCAACCAAACGCAAATTAAATCTCCATCAAAATCTATATTTATTTCCCTTTATTCAAATATGATTTCAATGTAATTTTTATCCAATAATAAAAATTTCGTAGTCTTTTTGTCTTTTTCTTTTCTTCTATTTTTTTTCCCTTTTTTTCAGGTAAAGATACGTAAAAAAAAGCAGCTCATCAGAGCCCACAGCCAAAATAGTCCACCTAATCACCCACCCACTCCCCATATTTTATAACTCCCTACACCTTCAAATTTCAAATACATAATGCTCCAGTCACACGTTCAATGTGTCCACCAAAAGTGGGGTTTGAGCCAATTAAAGAAATAAAGACGTTCTTTGGAAGCTAATAAGAAGTGGGTTTGAGTACAATTTAAATATTAAACACGTTTTCAGAAAGCTAATATGAATAATAAGAAGCCATTGTTCTCTGTCCATGTGCAAGTGTTTCCTCCACCAGACATTGATGACTTTAGCTAGGTCCAGTCACAGGAAATTGGTCAAATTTTATGCACCTATGCAATCATAATTGGTGGTTATTATGATTATCATTGTTATCATAGCCCAAGCTATTTTAAGTGAGGTTTTGTGCTTTTTATAATAATAGTGCACTCACATACAAAAGTAAATATTGAGAGAAATTCCTTGTCTATTGGCCAGAACGCATGAAAAAGAATCATATGAATTCCACAAACTGAACATGTTTATGTACAAGTCGGTTGAGCTCCTCAAAGACTTGCCTCAGGTAATGTAGGTTTCTCTAATTGTACTTTCCCCTTTTTCTAATTGTGCTTTTTATAATAATAGTGCACTCACATACAAAAGTAAATATTGAGAGAAATTCCTTGTCTATTGGCCAGAACGCATGAAAAAGAATCATATGAATTCCACAAACTGAACATGTTTATGTACAAGTCGGTTGAGCTCCTCAAAGACTTGCCTCAGGTAATGTAGGTTTCTCTAATTGTACTTTCCCCTTTTTCTGTACATAAATCTTGACTGTGCCAGACTACTACTAACCTTTCAAACAGTAGAAACAAAGATTTAAAAATAAAATAAAGAGACCCACCAGACCAAAGTTTTACATACCCCTTTCATCTGTCATGTAATTGCATTTTCACGTACAAAGAATGTACATGGCATCTTTGTAAATATGAAACTTTCTTACTTGAAGTGCCAACTCTATCCCGGTGCCAACAACCAAAAAAGTCAGCGGTGTGATTGTTAAGAGTCACTGACAACATGGGCCAGATTTCCTTCACAGTTAGCTTTGAAGCTCAAAAAGTCCCTCTCAAAAAGATTTCCTGAGGAATTGACATTCAATCAATGACATGTAAACTTAACCATACAAACGGTAGATTAACTGGTACAATGGCATGAAAATCCTATGTTATTCTGTGAAGTGAAATTCTATACATGCAATAGCACTTACCCAAAGGCTGCAAGCTGGAGGATTTAATGGCAAAAAAGACTGAAGTTTTCCCACCATCCGATCTAAGCCAAAAGCATCCAGCCCCTCAGTAAGAAATTATAGAAGTCGATTCAACCAACCAGATCTACTGCAAAAGCATCGAACTTTTGCATAAATGGAATGCCGTCTCTTCAGATTCCAATATTTTCCACGATCTGCCGACTGCAATTGTATCCAGCATGAAGTCCAACTGATGCGTTTATAATTGAATATTTTAGAATCTTGGACCAGTGATGCTCCGAGAGCTTTCTGTGGCAGCATCAGCAGAACCATCGAAAATTAGGAAAAACAAAGAATACCATGATGCTAAGCTCCTTGAAGCACAACAAAATTCATGGACAACCATCTATGCCTATATATCTCTCTTCGCCACAACCCCGGAAGAATTCTGCTTCTTTTGTATGCCATATTGCCAGGCATCCTTGGATCTATCACCTGACTGATCAAAGTCATCCAAAGAATTCTCAAATGGCGGCCTAAAGGGCCGGTAACTTCCATTTCTAGAAATAGCGACACCTGATTTCTCGTCATCTTCTGACAGTGTGCCTGACCTAGATTCCATATGCATATCAAATGATCTATGTCTTGGTCCGCCGGACCTTAAACCCCTTGAATTAGACAAGACCTTTCCTGGCAATGGGGTGTAAGGTCCCTTCGGAACCAGAAAATCTTTAGGGAGAGAGTCCATGTCCATATAACAGTCCCTGGATTTAGCATCAGCAATCAACGCAGCCCAGTCATCAGATTGGATTAAAGCATTAGCATTCCCCATGACCTGTTAAAATATCAGAATCCAAAAAGAATTAAAATGTAAGTTATCATCAAAGCATAGATAAAAAGCATATCTCCAATACACAAAAGCCACAAATGAAAATGGAAACAGAAAACCTTACCCAAAGAGCCCTTCTTGCACGTGTGAGAGCAACATTCATTCGTCGGATATCAGCAACAAAGCCAACCCCATGACTTGAAGCACGTACACAGGACATTATAATCACATCACGTTCTTGGCCCTGAAAAGCATCTACAGTGTTAATATATAGGTCTTTTCCTTCTTCTGAATTCAGAACATCCTCAAACTCACGTTGAAGGCATTTTAGTTGCAGCTTGTATGGTGTGATAATGCCAACTGAAATTTTACCCAACCCCAATGATTTCGCAGTTTTTTGAAGATGCTCATACACGCGAAGACAAAACTGTGCTTCATGCATGTTCTGATAAGAGACAGACCCACCTCTGTGAGACTCCCGCCCATGAGTAATGTCATAAAATATGTAAGGTCTAAGTAAAGGGTCTTTATAGTACATCTCATCTGGTAAATTAGCAACACTTTCGCTGTCTGTAAGGCGTCCTTGGTAGAAGTACCTAGAAGGAAAGTCACGGATTTGGGGGTGCATCCTGTACTGCACAGATAACAACATAGTGGGGCACCCTGCTTGCTGGAATCTCTCAAAGAGACTTCTACTGTATAACAAGGTTCCAGCCGCCTTGCTAATGACTGTTGCAGGAAGCTGCTGAGGATCCCCAACAAGAACACATCGTGCAGCACCAAGGGAGAGGGGAGGAAGAACTCCCACTTCACTAGCTTGGGCTGCTTCATCTATCACTACCATATCAAAACCATGAGTAAGGCGAGAGAACAGCTTGCGACCACTGCTTGAGACAGTAGTAAAAACAATTTCAGCCTCATTGGCAAAACTTGCCTCAAGATTAGCACGAGCTTCTTCCAAATTAAAGTTGCTACCAGGTCGGAACTTGCTTTCTAATATGAGGAAGCGAGACAACTCAACTAAAATTTTATCCCTGCCCTCAACCACCGCTGCAAGTTGCTGAAGCAACGCATCTCGATTCTGGTCCCGAGCCACAAGAACATCTGGATCAACACCAACTGATCCTTGGGAGCGAACAGCAGCAGCCGCAACAGTAA